TATGGCACCTTAAGGACTATAATGTCTTATTTGGCACAAAGTTCATGGACACCAACCTACTTCATCAGATTATGGAAAGATTGAGTAGCACCTGGAAAGTCACTTTTGTGGCTACAACTTCCAAAATTCTCCAAGCAAAATGGCTACTTTCAGATGTTAGGGTTACTACCAAGAAGATGCAAAATGAAAGATCCAGAAATGGTTTCTCCAACAAATGATGTATTTCAGCAGACATTGTGCCATTAAAAAATTGATTTCAGAAACTGAGAGGGAAATGACTTCTTGCAGTTTGGCTCAATGTAAGCATGACTTCCTTTAGCTACACAAAAATAACCAAACTTGAAAAAGTAACCCTAAAAACCCCTTGTCTTTCCAAGCTCGGTATAGAATTCAGGTTCTGTGTGTATTTCTAGGTGCGAAGATTACTGCAGATGCAGACTGCAGCCAGGAAATCAGAAGACGTTTACTTCTTGGGAGGAGAGCAATGACCAATCTCGATAAGATAGTGAAGAGTAGAGACATCACACTGGCAACTAAGATCTGCATAGTTAAAGCAATGGTATTCCCCGTAGTAACCTATGGATGTGAGAGCTGGACCATAAGAAAGGCTAAGCGAAGGAAGATAGACGCTTTTGAGCTGTGATGCTGGAGGAAAATTCTGACTGCTCACTGGAGGGAAGGATATTAGAGGCAACGATGAAGTATGTTGGCCACATAATGAGAAAACAGGACAATTATGCTGGGGAAAATGGAAGGAAAAAGGAAGAGGGGCCAACCAAGGGCAAGATGGATGGCCACGGTTGACAGGGAGCTCTGGCGTGGGCTGGTCCATGAGGTCATGAAGAGTCAGAAGTGACTGAATGAATAAACAACAAACAAAATGTATTTCAGCCTACAACATTCATAAAAGCATAGTTTCCATATTGGTTAATCTGCAGCTCACACAGCATTTGCAAGTTTTCAGTGTGCACACTTCTATAATAATCATCATCATCACCACCATCATTATCATTCATTGAGCATATCCTCAGCTGCTGCAAGAAAATCACAATGGACTACAAACATATAGTAATATATAATACTGATATTTCACTATGCTAATAATATAATATATTGTATGAAAATATATATTGTAAGCCACTCTGAGTCCCCTTCGGGGTGAGAAGGGCGGCATATAAATGCCGTAAGTAAATAAATAAAATACAAACAGAGGCACAACTCTGTGGCCCAAATGATTCGTTGGAGCAGTGGTTCTCAACATTCCTAATGCCGCGACCCCTTAATAGAGTTCCTCATGTTGTGGTGACCCCCAACTATAACATTATTATTGTTGCTACTTCACAACTGTCATTTTGCTACCGTTATGAATCATAATGTAAATATCTGATATGCAGGATGCATTTTCATTCAGTGGACCAAACTGGGCACAAATACTCAATACGCCCAATTCTGAATACTAGTGGGGTTTGGGGGGTGGGGGGATTGATTTGGGAGTTGTAGTTGCTGGGATTTATAGTTCACCTACAATCAAAGAGCATCCTGAACTCCATCAATGATGGAATTGAACCAAATTTGGCACACAGAACTCCCATGACCAACAGAAAATACTGGAAGGGTTTGGTGGGCATTGACCTTGAGTTTTGGAGTTGTAGTTCACCTACATCCAGAGAGCACTGTGGACTCAAACAATGATGGATCTGGACCAAACTTGGCACGGATACTCAATATGCCCAAATGTGAACACTGGTGGAGTTTGGGGGGGGGGGATAGACCTTGACATTTGGGAGTTGTAGTTACTGAGATTTATAGTTCACCTACAATCAAAGAGCATCCTGAACTCCATCAATGATGGAATTGAACCAAATTTGGCACACTGAACTCTCACGACCAACAGAAAATACTGGAAGGGTTTGGTGGGCATTGACCTTGAGTTTGGGAGTTGTAGTTCACCTACATCCAGAGATCACTGTGGACCCAAACAATGGTGGATCTGGACCAAACTTGTGGAGTTTGGGGAAAATAGACCTTGACTTTTGGGAGTTGTAGTTACTGGGATTTATAGTTCACCTACAATCAAAGAGTATTTTGAACTCCGCCAATGATAGAATTGGGCCAAACGTCCCACACAGAGCCTCCATGTCCAACAGAAAATACTGTGTTTTCTGATGGTCTTTGGCGACCCCTCTGACACCCCCTTGCGACCCCCCCCCCAGGGGTCCCGACCCCCAGATTGAGAAACGCTGCATTGGAGCTTATGTCACAGTGAGTCACTGCTAAGGAAACATGGGAATTGTAGTTCGGTGAGCCATCAATCTTCATTTTCTGCTCTGGCAGACGGCCCATTGAGTTGATCTAGCAAAGCTGGGCACAAATACACAAACACTCATATTGAAAGTCATCCTTTAATATTGGTCTCCCCTTAATTTTAACTAGCACGATGGGATGAGACAGCATGTGTCCTTTGGATATATATCTCCCAAGTTACTTAATGATCTTCCCATCCTACCAAAAAAAAATCAGGAAAATTATTTAGAGCCAGGCTTATAATAGATAAGAAAATTTTTGAACCGGAACTCCTTTGGTTCACTTTTTAACTCTGAACAATCTGGATTTGAACACAGATAATATCCAAAGAATCAGATTTTAGCTCAGGTCTGGGCAAACTTTGGCCCTCCAGGTGTTTTGGACTTCAACTCCCACAATTCCTAACAGCCTACCGGCTGTTAGGAATTGTGGGAGTTGAAGTCCAAAACACCTGGAGGGCCAAAGTTTGCCCAGACCTGTTCTAGTTCATTGTCTATTACAGTAACAAAGGAAATAATAGCTTTTGCTAAGATCAGTCACTGCCCAAAACAATATCCTCAAGCTATTGCATGGCACAGGATTTGTCTTTGTAATGAAAAGTTTTGGAAACATTAAAAAGAATGGAAGTTTGAAATGATAACATAAGAAAATTGCTAGGGAATCCCATGAGCGCCCTCTTTTGGTCTTCTTGTGTAAATGCTCATCCTGGTTTAAACCATATTTTAGATTGGATGGACACTGGTTATTTGGTGTTTTCTATTATCATATCATCTATTGTCACGCAGGGTTTGCTCACAAGCTTCTTACTGAATTAACAAGTCTTTATTAAAGTTAAATACTCTTATTGTATTTGGTTTTAGTCGTGTGGCCTTCTTCCTCTTCACGTGCCTATGTCAAGAGAAAAGCGGGATAAAAATAAAGGAAATAAATAATAAGCCCTAAACAGTTCCAGTCTGGCTTACCTACCCGAACGTATCTCTCCTTATAAACCATCTAGGACTTTAAGATAATCCGGAGAGGCCCTGCTCTCGATCCCCCCTTCCTCGCAGATGCGTTTGGCGGGGACGAGAGACAGGGCCTTCTCAGTGGTGGTCCCTCGGCTATGGAACGCCCTCCCCAGGGATATAAGATCAGCTTCTAACCCTTCTAACATTCCGCAAAATGGTCAAGACCTGGCTCTTCGAGCAAGCTTTTTCTACTGGAGCATAATTAGATGTAAACACAGCTCAACCCATTACGCAAAGTAAGCATTCGCAGTATAGTTGATTTTGCCCAGGGGTGCTCTTGAGGTGCTCTTGGGGGAAAATAGACCTTGACATATTCCATAGACATTTGGGAAGTGTCCGACATGTGATCCAATACAAAAGCCAGCATAATGATTATTAGCATAGAACAACATTAGTATTATATATTAGAGACTAGGACGCGGAACAATGGCTTCAAACTACAAGAGAGGAGATTCCATCTGAACATGAGGAAGAACTTCCTGACTGTGAGAGCCGTTCAGCAGTGGAACTCTCTGCCCTGGAGTGTGGTGGAGGCTCCTTCTTTGGAAGCTTTTAAGCAGAGGTAGGATGGCCATCTGTCAGGGGTGATTTGAATGCAATATTCCTGCTTCTTGGCAGAATGGGGTTGGACTGGATGGCCCATGAGGTCTCTTCCAACTCTTTGATTCTATGATTCTATTATTATATTGTACTATACCACTATATTGCAATATTATTAGTAATATTACATGTACATATTATATACAATTAATATATTATTATATATTATTGTTTTATACTATATTATTATACAACCATACATATATAGGTTCTTGTGGGTTTTTTCGGGCTATAGGGCCATGTTCTAGAGGCATTTCTCCTGACGTTTCGCCTGCATCTATGGCAAGCATCCTCAGAGGTAGTGTCCTCACCTCACTACCTCTGAGGATGCTTGCCATAGATGCAGGCGAAACGTCAGGAGAAATGCTTCTAGAACATGGCCCTATAGCCCGAAAAAACCCACAAGAACCTAGTGATTCCAGCCACGAAAGCCTTCGACAATACATTCATACATATATAAATACTACCAGTGTATTATACTATCAGTATTATATAATTTATTATTTATTTACTTAATATATTTGTATACCGCCCTTCTCAGTCCACAGGCGACTCAAGGTGGTTTACAGAGGCAACAATTAAATGCCCAACAACACCATAAAAACATTTGAAACATTTAAAAACATTAACATATAATATGAAACCATAACATGACCAATAAGACAGAAATGATGTGCATCTCCTAGTTAAAACGTTGTCCAATTTCATCATCCAGTTGCTTCATATCCCTATGTCTGTTACACAATATAATATATTGTTGTGTATCAACTAATAATAATAATAATACTTGCACTCAGCCTTGTTTAGCATCCTTTAGTTCTTGCAGCATCTCCTCCAGAATCATCCAATCAGATCTCTCCTTTTCCTCTGCATCCCTCGGTGGTCCCTAAAGGCATTTATCTTTACGAGAGAGCGCTGATTGGCTGCCTCGGGCCGGCCCATATTAACATATTCAAATTTCCGCCTCCCTCTCTTCCTCTCCGGAGAGAGAGGTGAAACCGAGCTGCGAAGCATCATTGGATGAAGGCCTCCTCACCTCGGCTTGTTATTGGCTAAGAGTGGTTGCCACTCAGAAAAATTTCCCTCCTCTTGGGTGTCCCGCCTTGCCTCCGTTGTGTGAGGCTCATTCACGCTTTGGCTTCGATGGAGGAAACATCGCCGGTGGGAGAAGGCAGCGTTGAGGAGTAGCAGCCCTGGAACAAAGAGGCCGAGGTGGCTGATACAGCTCCTAATTGGGTAATGATTGTGTACATTTATCAACATTAGAGCCCTTCCTTCTTGGGTTTGCCTTTTATGGCATTACTGGGTTCATTTTTGTGTTCTTCCTGGTTGTCTTCCTCTTTGGGCCTTGGATTTACATTGGAGAAGAAGGCTTTTCTGTTGTAAGCAGGATAGATTCCTAATGAAGGCCTATTGATAGGAATATCCATAGCAACAGGCACTGGGCTTATCACCTGTTTGGAAAGGAATCCTTGTAAATATTTCAGCATGGTTGTAATGATATACTTTTATTTAGTTCTCATTTTAATTCTGTGTTAATGTTTACAATCTTTAGGCTGTAAATAATATTGTTTTTAATAATAATAATAATAATAATAAGAAGAAGCAACATATTCAGTATGAGGATTTAAAGATAGAACTGCAAAGACTGGCACATTCCAGTAAAGGTGGTCCCAGTGGTGATCGGCACACTGGGTGCAGTGCCTAAAGACCTTGGCCTGCACTTAAAAACAATCCGCACTGACATGATATGAGGATTTAAAGATCRAACTGCAAAGACTCCGGCACAAACCAATAAAGGTGGTGATTGGCATACTGGGTGCAGTGCCTAAAGACCTTGGYCTGTRCTTAAACACAATCAGTTGACAAAATTACCATCTACCAGCTGCAAAAGGCTACGTTACTGGGATCCRCACACATTATTCGCTGATACATCACACAGTCCTAGACACTTGGGAAGTGTCCGACATGTGATCCAGTACAACACCCAGCAGAGTGATCTTGTTTGTTGTGTACTAATCTTGTTGTGTTTCAAATAATAATGATAAAATCTTTATTTGTATCCCGCAACAACAACATGAACATGTCAGAGTACTCTGGGACTTTCAGACTGACAGAGATTTGGAGCACAATACTCCCGATCTCACAATCATGGGAAAAAACTAAGTATGAATCGTCAATATTGCAGTTGCAGGTGACAGCAAAATTGATGAGAAGCAACTGGAAAAGCTTACACGATATGAGAATTTAAAGATAGAACTGTAAAAACTCTATCATAAGCCAGTAAAGGTGGTCCCAGTGGGGATCGGCACACTGGGTGCAGTGCCTAAAGACCTTGGCCTGCACTTAAAAACAATCGGCACTGACAAAATTACCGTCTGTCAGCTGCAAAAGGCCACTCTACTCATTATTCATCGACACATCACACAGTCCTAGACACTTGGGAAGTGTCCAACATGTGATCCAATACAACAGCCAGCATAGTGATCTTGTTTGTTGTGGACTATTCTTGTTGTGTTTCAAATAATAATGATAAAATCTTTATTTGTATCCCGCAACAACAACATGAACACGTCAGAGTACTTTGGGACTTTCAGACTGACAGAGATTTGGAGCACAATACTCCTAATCTCCCAATCATAGAAAGAAAACAAAGTATGAATAGTCAATATTGCAGTCGCAGGTGACAGCAAAATTGACGAGAAGCAACTGGAAAAGCTTACATGATATGAGAATTTAAAGATAGAACTGTAAAAACTCTATCATAAGCCAGTAAAGGTGGTCCCAGTGGTGATCGGCACACTGGGTACAGTGCCTAAGGACTTTGGCCTGCACTTAAAAACAATCAACGCTGACAAAATTACTATCTGCCAGCTGCAAAAGGCCACACTACTCGGATCTGCACTCATTATTCATCAACACATCCCACAGTCCTAGATACTTAGGAAGTGTGCGACGTATGATCCAATACAACAGCCAGCATAGTGATCTTGTTTGTTGTGGACTCATCTTGTTGTGTTTCAAATAATAATGATAAAATCTTTATTTGTATCCCGCAACAACAACATGAACACATCAGAGTACTCTGGGACTTCCAAATTCAGACTGACAGAGATTTGGAGCACAATACTCCCGATCTCCCAATCATGGAAAAAAATGAAGTATGTATCGTCAATATTGCAGTTGCAGGTGACAGCAAAATTGATGAGAAGCAACTGGAAAAGTTTACATGATATGAGAATTTAAAGATAGAACTGTAAAACCTCTACCATAAGCCAGTAAAGGTGGTTCCAGTGGTGATTGGCACACTGGGTACAGTGCCTAAAGACCTTGGCCTGCACTTAAAAACAACCCGCACTGACAAAATTACCATCTGTCAGCTGCAAAAGGCCAGTCTACTCGGATCTGTACTCATTATTCGTCAACACATCCCACAGTCCTAGATACTTAGGAAGTGTCCGACATGTGATCCAATACAACAGCCAGCATAGTGATCTTGTTTGTTGTGTACTAATCTTGTTGTGTTTCAAATAATAATGATAAAATCTTTATTTGTATCCCGCAACAACAACATGAACACATCAGAATACTCTGGGACTTCCAAATTCAGACTGACAGAGATTTGGAGCACAATATTTATTTATTGTGCTATAAAATCTTTATTTATATCCCACTTTTCTCCCACAAAGAGACCCAAAGTGGCTTACAACATATTAAAAGTAATACAAGTCCAAAACAATCAGCATCTATAACACATAAAACTATCTATAAAGTAAAACATAAATAAGCATTTTAATAATAATAATAATAATAATAATAATAATAATTTTCATCAAATAGTTTTACTTCCTTCTGAAGAAAGACGTGATAAAGAATCCTTTGTTACTCTTTTGGTGTGACTTTCTTTTCCATGGTATATGTGTTATGGTGGAACTCTTGAGATGTGAACACTATGTTGATGTTTAGAAAAGGGATTATGTATGGTTGTCAAGAAAAGAAAGGGAAGGGAGAAAAAGGGGAAAAAAGGGAAGATTAAAAAAAAAGAACATGGGAGCCCCGGTGTAGCAATGGGTTAAACCACTGAGCTGCTGAACTTGTTGACCGAAAGGTTGCAGGTTCGAATCCAGGGAGCGGCATGAGCTCCTGCTATTAGTCCCAGCTTCTGTCAACCTAGCAGTTCGAAAACATGCAAATGTGAGTAGGTCCATAGGTCGCCTCAGCGGGAAGGTAATGGCACTTCCATGCAGTCATGCCACCAGCCACATGACCTTGGAGGTGTCTACAGACAACACCAGCTCTTCAGCTTAGAAATGGAGATGAGCACCAACCCCCAGAGTTAGACACAACTGGACTTAATGTCAAGGGGAAACCTTTACCTAATAATTATAATTATGATTCTGTCAGCCCAAGAACAAGCCATTAGAACCAATGCCATCAAAGCCAGAATTGAAAAGTCCACAAGAGATTCCAAGTGTAGACTCTGCAAGGAAGCAGATGAAACAATAGATCACATCCTCAGCTGCTGCAAGAAGATTGCACAGACAGACTACAAGCAGAGGCACAACGCCGTTGCTTAGATGATTCATTGGAATTTGTGCCACAAATACCATCTGCCCGTGACAAAGAACTGGTGGGATCACAAGCTGGAAAAGTTAGAGAATGAACACGTCAAACTACTCTGGGACTTCCGAATTCAGACAGACAGAGTTTTGGAACATAATACTCCTGACCTCACAATCGTGTTAAAAAACAAAGTATGGATCGTTGATGTCGCAATCCCAGGTGACAGCAGGATTGAAGACAAACAACTGGAAAAGCTGACATGATATGAGGATTTAAAGATTGAACTGCATAGACTGGCACAAGCCAGTAAAGGTGGTCCCAGTGGTGATAGGCACAGTGGGTGCAGTGCCTAAAGAGCTTGGCCTGCTCATAAACACAATCGGTCCTGACAAGATTACCATCTGCCAGCTGCAAAAGGCCACCTTACTGGGATCTGCACGCATTATTCGCCGATACATCACACAGTCCTAGACACTTGGGAAGTGTCCGACGTGTGATCCAAATACAACAGTAAGCAGAATGTCTGCTGTGGACTCATCTTGTTGTGTTTTGACCTTCAACTCCAACTGGTAAACTTGCTGGGATTTCTGGGAGTTGTAGGCCAAAACACCTGGGGACCCACAGGTTGAGAACCACTGCTTTAGTCTTTTCTGCCAAAAGAGTGTTGGAGTTTTATGAATTACAACTCCCAGGATTGACTGTGAGAGCCGTTCAGCAGTGGAACTCTCTGCCCTGGAGTGTGGTGGAGGCTCCTTCTTTGGAAGCTTTTAAACAGAGGCTGGATGGCCATCTGTCGGGGGTGATTTGAATGCAATATTCCTGCTTCTTGGCAGGGGGTTGGACTGGATGGCCCATGAGGTCTCTTCCAACTCTTTGATTCTATGATTCCATAGCATTGAGCTGTGGCCATTAAATCAGTGTTAACCTGCATTGATGCTGCAGTGTAGATGCACCAAGAGACACCACATCACATTCTTGAAGGTTGCTTCCTAAACTCTCAGCCAATCTGGATGTATATTGACAATTGGTCCTCTCTGTCCTTAATTTTATTTATATTAGAAAGAGACCATTGTAAATAGATTTGTATACGATTAAAATAGTGTGGCGAGGACCTTTACATTTTTCCCCCTGCCCTTTTACTTTAGCAGTTCGATGTGTCAGCTCTTGGCCTGGAATGAACTTTTGTCTCAGCAGCAAATGCCAGGAAGTGAAAGCCTCAAACTCAGGAACGAATATTTTGACATGACTGTTCATTTCTGTAAAGCCTTCCCCTTTTGTAATGTGTATAAACAGAACTTAGAAAATATTTTGCTTTGGGCTCTAGCTCTGAGAATCCCCTGATCAGTGAATGGAGATTTCAAATACAAAGAAGTGGTTTTTCTCAATCTGTTATTTCACGATATTTGTAAAGCTTAGAAATAACAAGTGAAGAACAAATAGGAAGGAGAGAGCCAAAGGCTGCATCTACATGTAGATTTAATGCAGTTTAGCACCATGTTATCTGCTATGCTGCGTAATCCTGGGATGTAGAGTTTGATACTTTGCAGATGACTAAAGACCTTGTAAAACTACAATGACTTCACAGCCTGATAGTTAAAGTGGTGCCAAACCAGGCATGGACAGTTAGGAATTGTGGGAGTTGAAGTCCAAAACACCTGGCGGGCTGAAGTTTG